GTCATATGACGAACGAAAGCTTAGCACGTTTTCTCCGGAATCGAAGGAGATTGCCTCGGAAACAGCGTCAGCATGAATCTTCCAGTAAAGCCAATCGACAGCTGGCACGTGTTCACCGGAATCAAAGGAGATTGCCTCGGAAACAGCGTCAGCATGAATCTTCCAGTAAAGCCAATCGACAGCTTGGAATCGAAGGAGATTACCTCGGAAACAGCGTCAGCATGAATCTTCCAGTAAAGCCAATCGACAGCTGGTCAAGCGGAATCCGTCACTGGTCGTCTTCTGGTGGAACCGACATTCGAATCTCTTCACGCAACACTTTCACTCGAACTCCGTCGCTGGTCGTCTTCTGGTGGAACCGACCTTCGAATCTCTTCACCCAACACTTCCACTCGAAATGGAAGGCCGTCGTCTTCTGGTGGCACTGACCATTGAATCCCTTCACCCAACACTTTCACTCGAAATTGAAGTAAGCTACCGTCGTCTTCTGGTGGAACCGACCTTCGAATCTCTTCACCCAACACTTTCACTCGAAGTGGAAGTAAGCTCAAGTCGTCTTCTGGTGGAACCGACCGTCGAATCGCTTCACTCAACACTTTCACTCGAAATGGAAGTCAGCTCAATGTCTTCTGATGGAACCGACCTTCGAATCTCTTCACCCAACATTTCTACTCGAAATGGAAGTAATCCCAACATTCTTCTGGTGGAACCGACCTTCGAATCTCTTCACCCAACACTTTCACTCGGAATGGAAGTAAGCTCAACAATTATAGCGTCAGCATGAATCTTCCAGTAAAGCCAATCGACAGCTGGTCAAGAGGAATCCGCCGTCGTCTTCTGGAAACTTCGAATCTCTTCACCCAAACTTTCACTCTAAATGGAAGTAAGCTCATCAATTATGAAACAAGAGATTCCTCGAAACCCAACTTTTCTCCCTTCGAATCTCTTCACCCAACACTTCCACTCAAAATGAAAGTAAGCTCAACAATTATGAAACAAGCGATTTCTCGGAAATAGCGTCACCGTGAATGTTCCAGTAAAGCCAATCGACAGCTGGTCAAGAGGAATTCGCCGTCGTCTTCTGGTGGAACCGACAAATCTTCCAGTAAAGCCAATCGACAGCTGGTCAAGAGGAATTCGCCGTCGTCTTCTGGTGGAACCGACCTCCGAATCTCTTCACCCAACACTTCCACTCGAAATGGAAGTAATCCCAACAATGTTGATCTTTTGTCTCTCCAATGGAATCTCTTCACTCAAAACTTCCACTCGAAATGGAAGTAAGCTAAACAATTATATAAACAGGGTTATACGCTTGGTCTCACGAATTAGACA